GAGTATGAGGTTCATTTTCGCCAGATATTCGTCTTTTTTAAGAATGACATATATTGGCGACTTGTCACCTCTCCTGACAACTATCTCCTTGTTCTCACGAAGGCTTTTAGCTGCCGCTTTGAGCTCGCAACCCGTTCTCGCAAATTTAATAAGTCAATATTGACTTATTAAATATGTGCATAGGTGACATACTTAACATAATAGATACCCTTAAAAAGATTCATAGAAAACACCGACCTTACCTAACCTACTTAGTATGTTAAGATAAGCATCTTATTGCTTCGTAATTACAATTATTACCTAACCTATAATAGGTATAGGTTAAGTAATAATTGTAATTACGAAGCAATAAGATGCTTATCTTAAGATACTAACAACGTTAGGTAAGGTCGGTGTTTTCTATGAATCTTTTTAAGGGTATCTATTGTGTTTAGTATATCACCTATGCACGTAGTTAATAAGTCAATATTGACTTTACGAATTTGCGAGAACGGGTTGGAGCTCGGGGGACAGTATGGTGCTTCTGTAATTGCCTCGATTCTTTCCTCCTTCTGCAATAAGTTCTGCTTGTAAGGTATCTTTGAATAATATGCAAGGCCCTAATAAGCCAAGTTTTCCTAAATTAATATATTTTCTCTAATTTTTTTCTTATGAAATGATAGAGCTACCCATTTTATTATGTATGAGGTCAATTTTTTTTTATTGGAGTTAAAATTAACGTAGATATTTGACCGAACCCAAACCAACCCTACCTAACCTAACCTAACCTATCTTTATAGATTAGGTTGGGTTAGGTAGCTGAAAAAGATAGGTTAGGTTAGGTTAGGTAGGTTAGGTAGTCGAAAATTAATTAATTCATGAAAAAACTTGGCTTATTAGGGCCTTGCATATTAGGCTGAGAAGTGCGTCCTGTCTACTAGGTACGACATATATATATATATATATATATATATATATATATATATATATATATATATATATATATATATATATATATATATATATATATATATATATATATATATATATATATAAAATATATATATATATATATATATATATATATATATATATATATATATATATATATATATATATATATATACATATATATATATATATATATATATATATATATATATATATATATATATATATATATATATATATATATATATATATATATATATATATATATACTAGCTGTACCCGGCCACGTGTTGCTGTGGCTCAGCAAGGCATGCACGTTGCTGAGCCATAGCAACCTTCCCCTGTCTCCCAGTCCATCCCACCAATTTCCCCCGCCCCATCGTCCTCCCTACCAGTCCCCCCCCCTCCCCCTCGCCCTCTTCACTATCACACACTCCCCTATCCCCTTGTTCTTCCATGCATTCTCCATTCCCCTCGTCCCCACCATCCCCAACTACCCTGTCCCCCTGTCCTCTTCCACCATTATCCCCTCCCCTGTCCCCTCGTCCTCCCCAACATCCACTACTCCTGTCCCCTCGTCCTCCCCACCATTCCCCACTCCCTTGTTTGATGATCAAATGATCTAAACTTCCCATCTGAAGATTGGGAAGATCAAATGATCTGGGGCTCGATTCACGAAGAAGTTATGCAAACACTTATGAATCTGTACATCTTGTCACAATCTTTGGCATCTTTGTTTACAATTATTAAACTGTTAATGAGCTCCGAAGCACGAGGAGGCTCTTTATAACAATAACAACAGTTGATTAGCAAGTTTTCATGCTTGTAAACTGTTTAATAAATGTAATCAAATCCATCAGAGATTGAGGAACGATGTTAACGTTCGTAAGTACTTGCGTAACTGCTTTGTGAATCTGGCCCCAGATGTTCCCATCACTGAAATATAATAAAAACTGTTAAAAAAACAGCATGAAAAATAATAATAATAAAAAATATAAACTATACACACGAAATGAACTGTATAGAAAACAACACAGCTCAATTCCAAGGCAATGTCACACAAAATAATTAAATCAAAATTAAAGTAAATCGAAATTTATGAATATTCAATTTATCAATGAAATCGAAAACATTGAAGTGGAATCATAACATATTTAGTATAGCACATGATGGTCTTATGTGCAACACATGGCGCTATTTAAAATAAACGCATGTTTTTACCTGTCACAGGTGTAGCATCCATATACTTAGTATATAAAAAGATGCGTGTATTCGAATGCAACGATGTGTCAAAATTTCAAAGCAATTGGTGAAGAACTTTCGGAGATTACAGGGTGTGTTGCTCTTACGTCCAAGTGTGGCATACATATAGTAGGAAAATAAAAACATGCGCCTATTCGAATGCAACGTTTTGCAAAAATTTAAAAGTAATCAGTAAAGAAGTTTAGAGGATTTAAAGAGGTAAAGATTCAGCTTCTCGGAACTAAAAGTTCCAAGTAGCACGAGCTATGGTGAACTTGAAGGAAGAGAGGAGCAGGTATGAGAAGGGTAAGAACAGGATGAAAGTAATAATAAGGTAAGAATAAGAATGAGGATGAATGTAAGAATAAGGTTAGAATAGGATGAATGCAAGAATATGAGTAAGAGGAAAGGTTAGAAAAGTGAGAAGGAATAAGCATCAGGGGTAAAACATAAGTCAGGTAAAGTGTGTTAAGAAGGTTAGAGTATTTAAGCATATACTGTGAAAGGGAAGAGTCAACAGCAACAAAGCCAGGACTAAGGTTCATGTTGAGAAGGTTGTGTATCAGAGCCGAGTCAACAAGACGGCGTCTGTGAAGAGTAGAGGCAGGAAAGATTATTTTAGAAGAAGACCAGTCAATAGGAAGATTAATACAAAATCACTGCAACATGATCAATATGGGCTTTCGAATGGAAGAAAGATTCACTGAGGATTTCAAATATTGAAAAATTGAGTGTCCTTTGTTTACATGAAACTTATTAAGAGACACCAGATATCAGCTGGACAAAATCCGATTACGTGAAATGTCTAAGAGTCACAGTAGGTATGTTAAGTCATGGGGTTGTATTTCTAAAAGCTTAAACACCATCGAGTACAATTCTCGTAAATATGAACGTAACATAAGAATAAACACAACCGCAGAAGACATGTTACCCAATCCGAGTGAGCTCCTATTTATATCCACCTAAACTCACTCATACTCATGCCTAACCTACACATCAAGCCATCGAACGATCCCAACTGCATTCTGCGACCCAGTAATGTGTTCTAAACATCGACTAACCCTATATCCAAAACAGTATTTAGTAAGGTCTTTCTTAAATCTAAACCATATAAATATATAAATATATAAATATATATATATCCATTGTTTCGTGTCCTGGTTTATGTTGATATATATAAGACATAATTTTGAACACTTATTATAAACGTTAGTATTTCCTTGCATCTATGTGTAAACTTCAGTCATGTTTCTCCTTATTCTTTGCCTTTGTTGGTAACGTGAGTTAAGCTTTCCAAATATTTTCATATATGACGTTCCTAATACCTGAGATTAACAATTCCGGGAAATGTATTCCGGAATCCCAGATGCCTAATTTCTAAGAATTATATTTGGTATTTTGGCATTAGATCCCCACTAATTGTAAGTCCCAGATTTTCTTCGCATTCAAATTACGCATTTTCAACATCGTCCAGCAGATATCTGGTAACTCTATCATTATTACGTAGCCTCTGAACTCTACATTCTTTGCCATTTAACTTCATCTGCCAATCATTCGTCCATTTCAATACCATATCAAGATCGTCTGAAGCGATTGTGATTTTTTTCCCCCAAAAAAAATCTTTAAGATAACCTGGCCCTTTTCCAACGTTGGATAACGCCGGCAATTCCAAGACCCTCTGCCTTTTTAATTAGTTTTTATGAGACACAGTGGTAAAAATTTTGCTGAAGTCAAGATATATAATGACAAAAACCTTTCCACTTTCCTCTGCATTAAATATGATTGAAACAAATCAGAGCTGACAAGAGCTCATACTTCTCTTGTCATACAAGAGCTGACTGCCTGACAACTTTCATTTTTCAATATTTTTCCAAGATGTATAGGAATGTTTTTTGTGGTTATTGATTCAAGCCAATTTTCCGCAGCAAAAGTTAAAATCTAAGCAGCTAATAGTTAGATGGAGATGAACTATTCGCCTTGCTTAATTAATTAACACTGGATAGACACAAGAATTGCAATGATCAACATTTTTAGTTTTCTGCACAACTCTGTTTTATCTTTGCCTTTGAAGGCTTCATTGTGATCACGCAGTTCTGTTATGTTGTCCCTAGTATTGAGTGGACATATATTCATTGGAACGCGTAAAAATGATAAGAAAGTTAACCCAAGGAATTAAAAACCTTCTAGATGAGAAAAGAGATTAATAAAGCTAAATTTACATTCTCTTGAAAGACAGAGAATAAAGGGTGACATGACTCAAGTATTTATACATAAAAGGGTTTTAAGTATATCACCACAAAATGTTATTGTGTCCTTTCCCACTATTACCACAGAGTGGAAGTTGATGAAGTGAACGAGTTTCCTGAGTGAATGTGTCGAGAGAAAAAGGTGTCAGAGTTGAGGCAGTGCGAAAGTTTAGGAATTGCCAGACCAGAAGCGTTACAAGAGTAGAAAGAGTTCCCAGAGTGAAAGATTTCTCAGTGTGGAGGAGCTGACGAGGTGGAAAAGTTACCTGCGAGAAGTAATTTTCATGGTAAAGGAATGACTTACGAACTATGATATATGTTAAGAGGAATTATCTGAATATAAAATGTATATGTGCGACGAGTTGCATGAACATTCTGTGAATAATGTTAATGTTTACAAATTGGCCAATATTTGTTTATGGAGTTGCATGAACAGAAGAACAGAGAACGTTTGTGAGCGTAATAATTACCAGGACAAAACATTATCCAAGGGAAGGTTCTCTGGAAGACGAAATTACCTGGAAGAAGTTTGTCCAAAGTAGAGTGTTTACCTGGCCGTTGAGGCTACCTTGGAGACGTTACCTGGGTGTTCTGAAGCAGTCGTGTCGGATTCGCCGACTTGGGGATGGGAATGACGTTGATCTGATGGAGGTACCGAAGGAGGACTTGCGCCGGTGTCTTGTGGTGAGCAGCGGCCACGTCCAGCACCAGCGGGTCATCCAGCAGCGGCTTCATCTTCTCGAGTTTGGAAGTCTTACTGTCATTGAACATTTATTTTGTGATACAAAATAGAAATCAACGAGACTGGTTAAACAGGAACGATTCCTACGAGAGCAATAGTGAGAATCCTTAACTAGGGTCAATATATCACTGCAGCTTACAGGTCTCCAGTATTTAAGTAATAGTTGGGGCAGTGTTTTAGATGGTCCGTCTTGGTCTTCAAGAAGGCAGAGTGTACTCAGGTGTTAGCTGGCTGGTGGTAGTGGGCTTAGTGTGTTTGATGTGAAGTGCCTCGCTCATGTCCAGTGTTGAGTTGTCGTTGTACCTGTCTATTATTTTAGTGTTGAATGTCAGGATGACTCTGGTGGTGTGTAGAGACCACGTGTTCCGTGATGTGGCCTTGTTGTTTGTTCATTGTTACGCGCGTTGATAGCAATGTTGTCGCTATACTCTGAGACACTTGTGGCAGACAGTCCCCTAGTGGGCATGAGAAGTCAGTCTGCATATGTTACCGGGGAAAAGTTTTGTCACTGCTAAAATATGTTTTTAACTTATATTACCGTACAATTAATTATCTACATCATAAAGGTATCAGAACTAAACTTCCTCTGATATATATATATAATAGGCAAAAGTGTTGAAATATTTTGAAAGTTTGTTAAGCCCTCTACACAACTGCCATTTTCCCTAATAAATAATATTAAATATTTTTGTTTCTGATGCACATAGTAGGGTTGACCTACTATGTTGATCAGAAGCATAAATTGAGTATTAATTATAGCCCAAATTCAATATTGGTAATTCAGAATAATTACAACGCCTTCCGCGCTAAACTTTAACATAATAAAGATCTTAAAGAGTGAGTGATACATATTTGTTTCTTTCTGACCATGTATCTTCTCTGGATGATTATCCACATGTTTAAAGTCATCAGTGATTTTAATTAAATAATAAAGCCACAACATTTATTAGGTTCTCAACATGTTCCATACATTGTTCACTAATACTCCTTAAAAGGGAAAACAATGATTTTAATTATAATATAAGTTTTTTTTACAATAAGGCTACAATATCAGTGAACAACATGTAGACAAGAAAGAAGAGTTAATATCTATAACGCTTTTTCAAACAATTGTAGAAAAAGTAGCTAGTAAAAAGGTAGTAGCTAGTTGAATTGGAAATTGTACAACTCAGAAGTAGAGAGAGCAGAGTTAATATTAACAGATCAGATGATCTATAAAATTATAGATCAGCTCATCAGGCAATCCACACAGGTGAGAGAAGGTAATCATACCATCCGTGATGAATCGATCACAGAGATAGTGGAAGAGACATAACCTAAGGCATACGAGATAAGACGTTTAGCATAATAGATGAAGCTCCAGTTGGGAAAAGATGCCGTAATTGACCGAAAACATATTTTGGTCATTGTCAACACAATGCAAAAGAGTTTTCCTCTTTGAGACCCTCAGTGTAGTATGCACCAAGGTAGTCAGAGGATACATTCCAGAGACAGAAGTTGTGCCCAAAAAATGACTGGTTACAGAGGAATTGCTAACCTGTAAAAACAGATGGTTTGATGAAGATATACAGAGTTATGTATAGGATCACTGTTATATATAGGGAGGGGTAGGACAAAAATAGTAAACCACATGTGTAGGCCCAATATTGGACACCACATGTGTTGGACCAATACTAGACTCCATATGTGTAGGCCCAATACTGGACACCATATGTGTAGGCCCGAAACTGGACACCAAACGTGTAGGCCCAATAATGGACACCACATGTGTAGGACCAATACAGGATACTACATATGTAGGACCAATACTGGACAACACATGTGTAGGACCAATACTGGACACCACATGTGTAGAACCAATACTGGACCTCACATGTGTCGGACCAATACTGGACACCACATGTGCAGGCCCAATACTGGACACCACATGTGTAGGAGCAATACTGGACCCCACATGTGTAGGACTAATACTGGACCCCACATGTGTAGAACCAATACTGGACCCCACATGTGTAGGACCAATATTGGACCCCACATGTGTAAGACCAATATTGGACCTCACATGTGTTGGACCAATACTGGACACCACATGTGTAGGAGCAATACTGGACCCCCGCATGTGTAGGACGAATTCTGGACCCCACATGTGTAGGAGCAATACTGGACCCCACATGTGTAGGACTAATACTGGACCCCACATGTGCAGGTCTAATACTGGACCTCACATGTGTAGGACCAATACTAGACCCCACATGTGTAGGACCAATACTAGACCCCACATGTGTAAGACCAATACTGGACCCCACATGTGTTGGACCAATACTGGAACCCACATGTGTTGTACCAATACTGGACCCCACATGTGTTGGACCAATACTGGACACTACATGTGTTGGACCAATACTGGACACCACATGTGTAGGACCAATACTGGATCCCACATTTGTAGGAGCAATACTGGACCCCACATGTGTAGGACTAATACTGGACACCACATGTGTAGGACCAATACTGGATCCCACATGTGTAGGAGCAATACTGGACCCCACATGTGTAGGACTAATACTGGACCCCACATGTGTTGTACAAATACTGGACCCCACATGTGTTGGACCAATACTGGACCCCACATGTGTAGGACCAATACTGGACACCACATGTGTAGAACCAATACTGGACCCCACATACGAAGGACCAATACTGGACCCCACATACGAAGGACCAATACTGGACCCCACATACGAAGGACCAATACTGGACCCCACATACGAAGGACCAATACTGGACCCCACATACGAAGGACCAATACTGGACCCCACATACGAAGGACCAATACTGGACCCCACATACGAAGGACCAATACTGGACCCCACATACGAAGGACCAATGCTGGACCCCACATACGAAGGACCAATACTGGACCCCACATACGAAGGACCAATACTGGACCCCACATACGAAGGACCAATACTGGACCCCACATACGAAGAACCAATACTTGACACCATATGTGTATGACTATTTTCTACACCAGCTGCCTAAAAACTAATATTGCACGTATGTGAAAGACCAATATCGTCCATCACAAAATAAAGACAATTATGGTGACCAAACCTCACATCAGAAAATGAAGAAACGACGAGGTGTCTGGTTCTCCTGGCCCTTATCATGACACGTTCACTACTTGTTGATGATCCAACACCCACCGAAACATCATCATTTCTTATATACATATTTTTTTATGTGTGGTTTTTATCATATTTTCACCCACGATATTGCCACACATCGTCTTCAAACACATTTTTATATCACCACAAGTGTGAGACCAATTTTGAACACTATATAAGGAGGACTAATATTTTGCTCCAGAAATGTATGACCAATATTGTACACCACATCTGACTGGCCAATAATGTATACCACCTTTGTAGGACCAATATTATAGCACGAAGAGTCCGTGTGACACACCTCCTCAAAAACATAATTTTTTTTAATAGAATGTACATAAATGTGCCACCAGACTCGGACTTGTGTACAAAAAGGTGAACAGTGAAGACATTCTGTGAAAGTTTGGCATCACAACACAGCAAGGCAGCAGACACTGGGCACATGATTACCATATAAAAGGTACATTGAGAAACTAACAGGATGGGTAAGCAAGTAAGGTATATCAAAGGTACACGTGAAGACTAAGTGCTGATATGAGGACTAGTAGCTGGAATATGTGGACCAGGGGCAAGGAAAGGTGTGCAACAACTCGGAAACCGGAGGATCGTACTCCGACCTTGCAAGGTGCGAAGCCATCGCTCTCCTGAGCAGTCCAGGTGGATAGATTAGGTAGATAATAAGATTCTGTTAATAATAAGTGAAACGAGGAAGCGGAAGATACACGTGGCAATGGAATCCTCAGACGCGCCTCATACACATGACAAAAGAAAACAGGAAAAGAGCCAAGGCGTTAATGAAGCATAACACTTGAGAGGCACTAATGAAGCGGTAGCCCAAGAGCTTGATCTTACTCCAAACATGCATGCTCAGGTGATCAAGATAGATAAGTATATACAAACTATAATAAATGACACTAGGTGGTGAGAGTGGGCAGGCCAGCATTACCTGCTCAGCCTGAAGGGTCCTCCGAGGGGGCAGAAGCCGCACACCAGGATGTCGTGCTGGGCGCAGAGGGCTCTGAGGGCCCCCTGCTGCATGTAGACGTGAACCTCCACCTGCAGCACGGACGGTCTCACCTGACACCCTGCACCATGTAGGGGAGACCAACACGTCAGCCTTATTCTCTATGGGTGAACAAACACACACACACACACACACACACACACACACACACACACACACACACACACACACACACACAAAGTAAAAGGGCATGGAGAAACTATAGGAATAACAAGACACTGGATAGCAGAGAAAGATACCAGAATGCCAGGAATGAATATGTCAGGATGAGAAGAGAGGCAGAAAGACAATACGAAAATGACATCGCAAGCAAGGCAAAGACTCAGCCTAAATTGTTGCATAGCCACATTAGGAGAAAAACAACAGTAAAGGAACAAGTTATGAGATTAAGGATAGGGGCGGAAGGATTCACTACAAATGACAAGGAAGTGTGTGAGGAATTGAATAAGAAATTCCAGGAGGTCTTCACCTTAGAGCAAGGAGAAATTCCAGAGGTAAGTGAGGGAATAGCTAACCAGGAACCACTGGAAGAGTTTGAGATTACCAGTGGGGAAGTAAGGAAGTGTTTACTAGAGTTGGATGTGACGAAGGCTATAGGCCCAGATGGAATCTCCCCTTGGGTTCTAAAGGAAGGAGCAAGAGAACTGTGCCTACCACTCTCCATAGTGTATAACAAATCACTGGCAACAGGGGAACTGGCAGATATTTGGAAAGCAGCTAACTTAGTCCCGATATACAAGAAAGGGGATAGACAGGAGGCACTGAACTACAGGCCAGTGTCCCTAACCTGCATACCATGCAAGCTGATGGAGAAGATTGTGCGAAAAAAACTAGTGGAGCATCTGGAGCGAAGGAACTTTGTAACACAGCATCAACATGGGTTCAGGGATGGCAGGTCCTGCCTCACAGGGTTACTTGAATTCTACGACCAGGCAACAAAAATAAGGCAAGAAAGAGAAGGGTGGGCAGACTGCATATTTTTGGATTGTCAGAAAGCCTTTGATACAGTGCCACACAACAGGCTAGTGCGAAAGTTGGAGATGCAGGCTGGAGTGAGAGGGAAGGTACTCCGGTGGATAGAGGAGTACCTAAGCAACAGGAGACAACGAGTCTGTGTAAGGGGTGAGGTCTCAGATTGGCGAGACGTCACAAGTGGAGTCCCGCAGGGGTCAGTCCTTGGACCTATACTATTTCTGGTATATGTAAATGATCTCCCAGAGGGTATAGATTCGTTCCACTCAATGTTTGCCGACGATGCAAAAATTATGAGGAGGATTGAAACAGAGGATGATAGTAGGAGGCTACAAGATGACCTGGATAGACTGAGTGAATGGTCCAACAAATGGCTGTTGAAGTTCAACCCGAGTAAATGCAAAGTAATGAAACTAGGCAGTGGAAACAGGAGGCCAGGCACAGGATACAGAATAGGAGATGAAGTACTTAATGAAACAGACAGAGAGAAAGATCTAGGAGTTGATATCACACCAAACCTGTCTCCTGAAGCCCACATAAAGAGTATAACGTCTGCGGCATATGCGAGGCTGGCTAACATCAGAATGGCGTTCAGGAACCTGTGTAAGGAATCATTCAGAATCTTGTACACCACATATGTAAGACCAATCCTGGAGTATGCGGCCCCAGCATGGAGCCCGTACCTTGTCAAGCACAAGACGAAGCTTGAAAAAGTCCAAAGGTATGCTACTAGACTAGTCTCAGAACTAAGAGGCATGAGTTATGAGGAAAGGCTGCGGGAAATGCACCTTACGACACTGGAAGACAGAAGAGTAAGGGGGGACATGATCACAACCTACAAAATCCTCAGGGGAATCGACCGGGTAAACAAGGATGAACTATTCAACACTGGTGGGACGCGAACAAGGGGACACAGGTGGAAGCTGAGTACCCAAATGAGCCACAGAGACGTTAGAAAGAACTTTTTCAGTGTCAGAGTAGTTAGTAAACGGAATGCATTAGGAAGTGATGTGGAGGAGGCTGACTCCATACACAGTTTCAAATGTAGATATGATAGAGCCCAATAGGCTCAGGAATCTGTACACCAGTTCATTGACGGTTGAGAGGCGGGACCAAAGAGCCAGAGCTCAACCCCCGCAAGCACAATTAGGTGAGTACAATTTGATGAGTACACACACACACACACACACACACACACACACACACACACACACACACACACACACACACACACACAGTCAGTTAATGTACCCTGTGTGTATAGAATGATTCCTCTCATTGTTTGCTGATGATACAAAAATTATGGGGAGGATTAAAACAGAAAAAAGACAGTAGGAGGTTACAAGATGATCTAGACAGACTGAATGAATGGTCCAACGAATGGCTACTAAAGTTCAACACAAGTAAATGCAAGGTAATGAAACTAGGCAGTGCAAACAGGATGCCAGACGCAGGATACCGAATGGGAGATGAAGTACCTCATGAAACGGACAGAGAGAAAGATCTAGGAGATGATATCACACCAAACCTGTCTCCTGAAGCCCACATAAAAAGAATTACATCTGTGGCATACGCGAGTTTGGCTAACGTCAGAACAGCCTTCAGGAACCTGAGTAAGGAATCATCCAGAACCTTGTATACCGCATATGTAAAACCAATCCTGGAGTATGCGGCCCCAGATGGAGCCCGTACCTTGTCAAGCACAAGACGAAGCTGGAAAAAGTTCAGAGTTATGCCACTTGGCAAGTCCCAGAACTAAGAGGCATGAGTTACGAGAAAAGACTGCGTGAGATGCACCTCAAAACACTGGATGACAGAAGAGTAAGGGGAAACATGATCACTACTTCCAAAATTTTCGGAGGAATTGACAGGGTAGATAAGGTTAAACATGGGTGCTATGCAAACAAGGGAACGCAGGTGGAGACTGAGTGCCCAAATGAGCCAAAGAGACGTTAGAAAGAACTTTTTTCAGTGTCAGAGTAATTAACAGGTGGAATGCATTAGGCAGTGATATGGTGGGGCTGACTCCATACACAGTTTCAAATGTAGATATGATAGATCCCATTAGGCATAGGAAGCTGTACATCAGTTGATAGACGGTTGAGAGGCGGTACCAAAGAGCCAGAGCACAACTAGGTGAGTGCACACACACACACACACACACATCTAACACACACACACCTAATCTAACTCCTGAGGCACATATAAATAGGATAACGACAGCAGCGTACTCTACACTGGCGAAAATTAGAACTTCATTCAGAAACCTAAATGAGGAGGCTTTTAGGGTGCTTTACACTGCCTACGTGAGACCCGTCTGCTGCGCCATCATGGAGCCCCCACCTGAAGAAACACATAAAGAAACTGGAGAAGGTTCAGAGGTTTGCGACGAGGCTTGTCCCAGAGTTACGAGGGATGGGATATGTAGAGCGTCTGAAGGAACTGAACCTTACGACACTAGAGAAAAGAAGGGAGAGAGGAGATATGATAGGGACATATAAAATACTCAGGGGAATTGACAAAGTGGAAATAGATGAAATGTTCACACGTAATAATAACAGAACGAGGGGACATGGGTGGAAACTGGAAACTCAGATGAGTCACAGAGATGTTAGGAAGTTTTCTTTTAGCGTGAGAGTAGTGGAAAAATGGAATGCACTTGGGGAACAGGTCGTGGAAGCAAATACTATTCATACTTTTAAAACTAGGTATGATAGGGAAATGGGACCGGAGTCATTGCTGTAAACAACTGATAGCTAGAAAGGCGGGATCCAAGAGTCAATGCTCGATCCTGCAAGCACAAATAGGTGAGTACACACACACACACACACACACACACACACACACACACACACACACACACACACACACACACACACACACACACACACACACACACACACACACTCACACACACACACACACACACACACACACACACACACAAGATGAAAAGATTACCCAAGATGAAAGACTATCGGATATAGAGGTGACAGCAGAGGATGTAATGAAACAGTTGACAACACTGGATGCAAATAAAGCTGTTGGACCAGACAAAGTATCACCGTGGATACTCAAAGAGGCAGCGCAGGCTCTCAGCGTGCCTCTGGCAATGATCTTTAATGAGTCACTTATGTCGGGAGAATTGCCCAGTTGCTGGAAGGAGGCAAATGTCGTACCGATTTTCAAAAAGGGTGATAGGGAGGAGGCACTTAACTACAGACCCGTATCACTGACAAGCATCCCCTGCAAAATTCTTGAAAGAATAATTAGGCTAAGACTTGTTGAGCACCTGGAGAGCATTGGGTTTGTAAACAAGCACCAACATGGGTTCTGGACAGGGAAATCATGCCTAACAAACCTTTTAGAATTCTATGATAAAGTAACAAGGATAAGGCAGGACAGAGAAGGCTGGGCAGACTGCATATTTCTTGACTGCCAAAAGGCCTTTGATACGGTACCGCACATGAGACTGCTATACAAACTTGAGAGGCAGGCAGGAGTAAGCGGAAAGGCCCTGGTATGGGTGAAGAACTACCTAACAGGAAGGAGCCAGAGGGTAATGGTAAGGGGCGAAAAGTCGGACTGGCGAACAGTAACAAGTGGAGTACCTCAAGGATCGGTGCTGGGACCAATCCTCTTTCTAATTTACGTAAATGATATGTTTACAGGAGTGGAATCATACATGTCAATGTTTGCAGATGACGCAAAATTAATGAGAAGAGTTGTGACAGACGAGGATTGTAGGATCCTCCAAGAGGACTTAAACAGGCTGCAGAGATGGTCAGGGAAATGGCTACTGGAGTTTAACACCAGTAAATGTAAAGTTATGGAAATGGGATCAGGTGACAGGAGACCAAAGGGACAGTACACAATGAAGGGGAACAGCCTACCTGTAACGACTCGAGAAAGAGACCTGGGAGTGGATGTGACACCTAATCTAACTCCTGAGGCACATATAAATAGGATAACGACAGCAGCGTACTCAACACTGGCGAAAATTAGAACTTCATTCAGAAACCTAAATGAGGAAGCATTTAGGGCGCTTTACACTGCCTACGTGAGACCCGTCTTAGAGTATGCCGCGCC